CTCTTTCTAATAATTTTATTAAAACAATGTTCTTTCGTATAAATAAATACATCTGTCTGAGTCAAATGTCAGAAAAGATTCACTTATATAGCTGCATTTGAATTTTCAGCAATATTCTGTTCGAAGAAGTACAAATTTCAGGTTTGTGTCCAAAAATCACAGGTATGCTAGTAGAATTCTAGTCGTCATTATGTTTGTTTTTGATGGGTCAAACTCATATAAAAAGCACTTACGAATTAAGATAGTTCTGAACCTTCAAGGGATAATGACAGTAAAAGAAACATATGATCACCTAAAGAACTTAATTGACCTAAAGGACTTAAAATTGCTTTTTCCATTTTACAATTAACTTGATAGATCTCATCTTTTTCTTTCTTAGCTATGATCAAGGTTAATCAAAAATTATTTATAATACAAACTTCGTTGCAGTTGGCAATCTTGTTTTCTTGGCTAAAACTTCAGCTGTACACAAGGGTACTGCTTTTAGTTACTATGCATATATTGCACACTAGACTAGACTTGCACTTGGGTAATGCTGCTAGCATCTTAAGCCCTGTTGTTATATCAAAAATCATAAGTTATCATGAACCTTGACTGGACTTGCACTTGGGTAATGCTGCTACCATCTTAAGCCCTAATTAAACTGATAACTATTATCATCTAACAACCCTTCTCCTTCCTTAAATAACAATGAAGCAGCAGAAACTTCTCATCAATAATAAAGAGAGAAAAGGAGGAATCACAACCAAATTTAAATAATCATAGATTTCCTAAATCCTTATCAGTTAGCACATACACGAGTTTCTGGTAAATGATTACCAAATAACAATCTCAGTGTTATCACCATCATGCTGCCTTCCTAGCTTTTAATTGGGCAGAGGAAGAGAGATGTTTCTATATTGAGTTTATTTGCGAATTGGACCAGTGTTATCAAATGCGCACTCGGGCGCGCGCCTCAGGCACAAGGCGCTTCGGCACACAAGACCAGCGCCCCGCATTGGGCGCGGGGCACTCCACGTCAACCAGGCACGCGCCTGTGTGCACCTTGCAAGCGTCTTGCAGGAGGTGATCGCCTCAAGAAGTGAGGCGTTCAGATATTAAAATAGTTTTGAGGTAAACCCAGTTACCATTTAAACCCAAAACCTAAATAACATTATCCTAACAACTAGGGCTTCTTTCTTTTCCATTATATGCTTCTGTTCCCTTTTCCTTGTCCAGCGACTCCAGCGAGCGGTGATCGAGATCCACAAGCAGCAATCAAAATCCGGCTCTGAGGTATGTTTCCTTTCTCTCTTCATTTTCTTTTCGCTTTTTTGGTTTTTTCCTGTTGCTTTCTGTTTTCCTACTCGGTTCACTTTTTTTTTCTTTTTATTGCTTCTTTTTTCTGCTTTTTTTTTTTTTTGCTTTCTTTTTCTTTTGTTTAGCCGGAGGTAAGTTTCCTTTCTTTTCTCTTCATTTTCTTTTCGTTTTTTTTTCCTGTTGCTCCCTGTTTTCCTACTCAGTTCACTTTTTTATTCTTTTTATTGCTTCTCTTTTTTTCCTTTTTTAGATTTCTTTTTCTTTTGTTTGAGAGTCTGAGTTTGAACCGACTGCCCTATGCTTGCTCCAACAGTAACATTCACTAAAATTTGGTTGATTATTAGATATTTGTTGCTAGTTGCTATATTGTTCATTTAATATTGTTTGAGACTCATGAATATTGTTGCTTTGTTCAAGGACCGTGATTGTTAGTTTTATAGTTTGCAAGGAGAAACATTGAATATGTAGTTATCAAGGGTTGGATTTATAATTTGTCATTACCATGTGTGATTATAACTTAACGTGTGATAATATAACTTAACATAACTTCATTATTCAACTCATAAATATTGTTTGCGACTTTTACATTAAATTTATGCTTGTTGCTACAGTAAATTTATGTTTGCTTCTTGCTATTTGCTGCTAGAGGCTACTAGCCGATTTTCCTTTTGTAACATCTAAAGCGAAAATTAGCAATGTAATTGTTAGTGATGCAATACACTAATATGATTATGAATAATTTGTATGATTATGAAAATTAAAGTAGAAGTGTGATTTACTATTGATGATTACCTTCCAGATCTTGGAGATGAAAATATAGTAGAGATTCGATGAAGACGAGAAGCTTGAAGAGGGAGGAACAACTACAAGCAACTAGAGACAAAGGGAAAGGTCCGGTGGCTCCTACTCATAGATCATCTTCCATAACGGCAAGAGGAGGGGGAAGTTTGGGCTTGACTAGTTCGGGATCTTCCACAAAGAGGAATAGACTGATGGATGATTCCTTACCTTTGATCCCGCACTAGAAGTCGCCAAGGATGATAGAAGACGCAAGTTGAGGCAAACATGTATTGATGAAAGCCTCAACAAAGATACAATAGCTAAAGTGCATCAAGACATTGCTTGTTGGTGGTATCCAGTGTTTTAAATATCGGCCGCCATGTCGGACATGGCGACCGATATTGCGGATTCGGAGCCTAGCCGCCACGAAATTGTTGAATTTAATGCGTATGGCGTTTTTGAGGTCATGTCGGGGACATGTCGGAAAATAGCGGATATATCGGACGACATTTCGGCCATCAAATATCGGCCAAAATTCAGAAATATCGGTTTCACATTGACATGTTGAAATCATATGATTTGCAATATCTTTCACCTTCTATTTATGTAAAGTGTCACATTGTTTCCCATCCACTACCCATATGGGTGCTTGTTGTAGGTTTTAATTACTTGTTATTGCATGTGTTTTCTTTATAATGGAAGGCTATAAGAACACATGAATTTATTTGTATTAGGTGCACATATACTTCGATTTTTACTAGTTTCTTATTTGGAGAAATGACAGATATATAATAAAAATCCTACAATTGTTAGTCGATGCAATTAAGTAGTTTAGAATAGCAATTACGAGTTTAATTTTCAATTTCAGTAGAATTTTCTTTTTGTTCCTACTAGTATAATGCACGCGCTTTGTATGTGAACATTTTTTTTTTGTAATCTTTTTCTTTGAGTGTAAAATTATGAAGTGACTTTTATAATAACATAAATTCTTAAATTGAACAATTAATAAATCTTTACATTAATAAATAAAGTTGTGTATAAAGAATTGTATTAGTAATTTTTATATTCTAGATAATTATTATACTTTAATAAGAATTGTCTAAACATATGCAGTTAAGCTGTTCTAGTGTCTATTTGGTTTTCTATACAAAAGCAAAAACTTGGTGGTTGCTTGTGAAAATGAAGACCTTCTCATATGTACTTTTTCATATGTTTAGACAATATAATTATCAAGTATGTGAAGATTCCATTTATGATATTATATCAACCTATCCGATATGGCAATCCGATATTTTTTTTATGTCCCCCGATATATCCCCGATTTTCGCTATCCGACATGAATTTTGGCCGAGCGA